GGTTTCTAATATGGCTGTCCGCGGCCCATTACCATTGGGAACCGCGAAGAGGCAGCAGAAGAGGCGGGCGGAAAAGAAATAATAATTATAATAATAATTATAAGAACAATAATCACAAATAATTATAGGTAATTTTTAAAGATTATAATTTATCGCCCATTATTGATATCAAATCTTTGATTTACCTGATACATGTCGTTAAAATTAAGTAGATTTTTTATTTTTAGGAATACTCATTACAAATAATTTCTTCAATAAATAAATACGTAATAGTTAAGAATTACCTCTCAAATTGACTTTTCCAAGCTTAGCACAAAATTAGTATAGTCAGTTATCGTTGTAATAAAGTCGTTAGCAAATCGTTTTTATAAATGATAAAATTTATGGCGTTACTTTACTTCCCATCTAGGGTTCCCATCTATGTTAGGTTTCCACCAAGTGAGACGCTATCTTCACACACACTCCCAAACGTGAGAGACAAGGGTATTCCTCCCGCAAACATACATACACAACTCGCGCACGCGTGTATGAATACGTACGGAGCGCGTAGAGACTATTTTTTAGGGGAAAAAATTGTTTAAAAATCAAAATAACAATGTTAGGTGTCAGAACTTTTTGTAGAACTATGTATCTCTTCAAATCCTATAATAAACTGTGGCTGAAAACTTTTTTTAGACGGAATTATCCCTGTGTGAACTTGGCGTCTCATTTTGAATTTTGGGTTTCTCGACTTTAATGGCCGGAACTATTTATTTATCCTATATGGAACTACAGAACTATTGAAAATAAACTCAGAACTCTCAATGTTCGGTACACGAACAGTGAATGCCCGCGTTACCGACAGCGGCGGGGTGCAGGGCTGAGGCCCTTCAAGATACGGCGCGGCGATCGGTATCGGCGCGCTTCGAGCCTCTTAGTTGCGTGTCGTGTCGCAATGGTCAATCGGACCGAGAGAAGAACGATCGTGCGTGCCGCCATGATTAGGCGTTCCTTTCCTTTTTGTAACGGCAGTGTGCGTGCAATAAAAGTGTCTTACACAACCTGTAGTTTGAATCGCCGCAAGATCCCTTCCTTACAACCAGAGGCGGCAGAGCGAGGTCAAGAAATCCCTCGATATAAAATATAGGGAGACGCTTCTCCCGACCACGTTTCTCGCGGACTCAAGGCCGAGAACACACGTGGGGCCGGCGCCATAACCATTCTACTAACGTGGCCCGGCCAAATCCTCAACAAGTTTGGTCCTTCGAGCCGGATTTGGGCCGGCGCCATAACCATTCTACTAACGTGGCCCGGCCAAATCAGCAACAAGTTTTGGTCCTTCGAGCCGGATACGAGCCAGGACGCATCGCCGTTGCAATCTCGCACGAATCAAGCAAAGGCTCGACGTCAGAATTAAGAGCCGCGCACTCGAGACTGGGTGTCGAGCAATCCGCAAACGCCGTAGCTACAGCACAGCGCGCTCGTAAGCCAACATACGAGCCGGCAAGCAGCATCAGTCATCTGCGAAAGCAGGAAGATTCACCTACGCAGCGTGGAAGCAATCGGGTCTTAGAAGGACGGGAAATCCACCGACAGCTCGTGACGTGGCGTTACTTCCGGCGAATCTCATCGCTCACGACGAGGACGGAGGGCGTTTCAACGCGACATCGGGGCATTACCTCTTCAGGCAGCAATACGCATACAATCGATTGTAAGGTAGGGGCAATTAGCTCATGTCGGTGCCGATTATTCTGTCAAAGGTCAGATCGTTCTCGCGTTCAATATGGCGAATGACGACGGTGTTGGCGCGCTCAGGCGCAGGCGCGGGACGATTTTCGCGGCTTGTACGCGAATACGCACATTTACCGAATCCATCACGTCCGTTACGCCGACCATTGCGGCTCAACTCGAGGAGCGCCGGGAAAAGCTCGGCGGTTATTGGTCGGAATACGACTCCATACAAACGAAATTAGAGGCTCATAATGAGGCTGAAGCGGAGAATCGCGCATCGTTTGAGGAGTCATACTACGCATTATCGGCGCGAATGCGCGAGTTGCTTTATTCAGCGTCGGCGCTGAGCGCCTCGGCGCCGCCTTCGCCCTCGTCTTTCGCTAGCGTCGCCGCACAGCCTTTCAACCATATAAGGCTACCTAAATTAGAGTTGCCGAAATTCACGGGAAAGTACGACGAGTGGTGTCCCTTCTTCGACAGCTTCAACTCTCTCATTCACGCGAACACATCGTTGAGTGACATCCAACGGTTGCAGTATCTAAGGGCGTCGCTCGCAGGAGACGCGGTCAAGATAAATAGCGCATTGGAAATCTCGGACGCAAACTACTAGGTAGCGTGGGCCCTCTTAAAGGAGCGATACGATAATCGGCGCGCGATAGTACAGAGCCACATTAAGGCTATCTCAGAGTTGCCGTCTATGACAAAGGAAAATATTGCTGAGCTGCGTCAAATCGCGGACGGCGCCGTTAGGCATATCCATGCCCTTCAGGCATTAAAGCGACCTACGGCCCAATGGGACGATTTACTAGTTTACATTCTAAGTAGCAAGCTCGACACGCTTACCTCGCGGGAGTGGCAGCTGTCATTGACGGGAGTCGCGTTGCCTACCTTGAA